GTATTCTGTTATGAACATCAAAGTAAGACATCATTTCAAGAAGGAGGTTATTTGGGAATTCCCTGGGGGTTCAGTGGTTAGGACTCAGTGCTTATGCTGTCATGGGCCCATGTTAGATCCCTGGCTGGGAAACTAAGATCTCACATGATACAGCCAAATAAGGGGGTTGTTGAAGATATTACCAAATAGTGCAAAAAGGTTAAGCTGAAGATGAATAAGAAAATACTTCTGGATGCGTCAGGATTCATTATTTCAGTGATATTTTATTGTTTCAGAGGGCAGTTTTAATAGCAGCAAAGGGTAGAAATCAGGTTGTCAAAGGTTTTAACCTCTTTTTAACCTCTCTTTAGAGAGAATCCAACTTAAGAATTGGTACGGGGGACTTCCCTGGTGGTCCAGTGGTTAGGAATCTGCCTGCCTATGCAGGGGACATCGGTTTGATCCCTGGTCCAGGAAGACCCCACATGCCTCAGGGTGTTTAGGCCCGTGTGCCACGACCCCTGAGCCCACACTTTAGGGCCTGACAAGAGAGGCCCCTGCAGTGGGGGGTCTGTGCACCCCAGCTAGAGAGTAGCTTCCACTCGCCACAGCTAGAGGAAGTCCAAGCATAGCAACAAAGACCCAGTACAGCCAAATATACATAAACAAATAAAAACAAAATTAAACAAAGAATTGGCAAGGGATTTGAATTGGCATTTCATCAAAAAAGACATGCAAATAACTAACAAAGATCTGAGAAGATGCTAACAACATTAGTCATTAGGGAAATGCAGTTCAGTTCAGCTCAGTTCAGTCGCTCAGTCGTGTCCGAGTCTTTGAGACTCCATGGCTTTGTGAACCGCAGCACGCCAGGCTTCCCTGTCCATCACCAACTCCCGGAGTCCACCCAAACCCATGTCCATTGAGTAGGTGGTGCCATCCAACCATCTCATCCTGTCGTCCCCTTCTCCTCCTGCCCTCAATCTTTCCCAGCATCAGGGTCTTTTCCAATGAGTTGCGTCTTTTCAAATGAGTCAGCTCTTCTCATCAGGTGGCCAAAGTACTGGAGTTTCAGCTTCAGCATCAGTCCTTCCAATGAACACCCAGGACTCATCTCCTTTAGGATGGACTGGTTGGATCTCCTTGCAGTCCAAGGGACTCTCAAGAGTCTTCTCCAACACCACA